CCTTGTCGATAGCACTGCGAAGGTCTTCGACTCGCGATGGCTTATTCGAAAGCGTGACAGCAGCAGGACCAGAAGTAGAGGTGGCCAGCCTGACACCAAGAAGATCAGTGCAAGGGGAGAAGGCCTCATCCTTGTCTTTGGCCCACGTAAAACCGAAAAGGTCAAGAACTGCTTTGGCACACCGATCAGCGTTCTGGCTTAGCTCAGCCACCTCCAGCAAAGGATAGTCATCAAAATAATTTGCAGCAAGCAATTTCATCTCGTGAAAAATTCGTTGCACCAACCGCGCCACCCGGTTGAAATGTCCAACACTTGCGATGCTGCCGAAAGGCAACACCCGACACAAGAAACCCTTGGGCTCGTCATCGGCCGGATCCTTCAAAGAGATCACGCTGAACCTCCTGTCATCCGGATGCAGTGCAAGCTGTTTGTAGGCAGATTTAAGGTCCACCGTCTTAACGAGAACACGAGCCCTGTCTGGATGCTGCAGCCAGTAAGGATGAACGCGCCCTCGAAGAACGCGACCATCGTCCAACCTCAAAGCAAAGCAACGGGACTCCAGACAGCGCATGATCAGCATAGCCGTAAAGACCGTCTCGTCCAGGGCCCGAAGATCAAGCTTATCAAGAGTACTGCACGCCCCATTCGTCCCACACTCTGTCAAGTCATCTATCGGTCGCAGCTTGTCATGCTGTACCACAGGAAAGCGGCGAGTCGGAACCCAACCCTCCGGCAGCATTTGCTCAAGCTGAGAGAAAGTCCTCGGCTCCTCAAGCCAAGATTTATCTCGGTACTCAGCATAAGTAATGTCCCACAGCTCGCGCCCCAGAGAGTCCAGAGGGGCTCCTTTGATCTTCGCCCACAGAGCCGGCCTGAGATGCTTCGACTGCTTCAGCAAATCCTCCTTGGTACCCGAAGCCGGCCGAGGATCAAGACCAAAGACACCACTTGCATCCTGCAGCCCTGTAATGCGAAAGCCACGAACCAACTCATCATGAAGAGCCTCGTCTGGCCAACCCAGCGAGGCAGCCACCTTACGCAGAAGAAGAAGCTTCTTGCCTTTAAGCACCGATGCGACACCTGGATCAAGACTCTCATGAAGGCGATCTTCATCAGCCTGAAGATCGCGAGCCCACGTCTTCCATTTGTGCAAAACGGACAGTCTTTGCCTCAGTATGTCCACAGGGCTACTAGAAAGAAGAGAGGCAACGATCTCCAAAATCCTGTCAGGCACAGCTTTACAAGAATCAAAAGGATGCTCCAAATCCCTTGCGGCCGAAACAAACTCAGAAGGACTCCTGTAAATGCCAAAAGAAGCAAGAGGCCTGCCACCAAGAGCCGAAGGGAAAGAGGGGCCTAAACCCGAAGCGGGAGCGGAAGGGCCTAAACCCAAGGGGCCTAAACCCGACGCGGAACCCACCCCTTTCACCGGCCTGCGAAGGAGTTTAGCCCCAGCAGGAACAGAAGGCAAGGCAGCCGTCAAGCATGATTTTGCATCAAGTGGCAAATGCTCGACAGAATCAACTGCAACTGTCACACGATACTTAAAGTCTTCAAGAAGCGGCTTGTACTTGGAGAGCTTGGGCTGCCGCCGGGCAGAGGCAGCAGCTGCATGAGACGACTGTTCGAGAGGACACTCACGCACAATCTCCAAGTTGAAAGACGCAGCCTGAAGTTGCAAAGCTGATGACATGGCCTGACAAAGCTCATGAGGGTACGCAGCCTCCTGAGAGGTGGCGTATTGGACACCATACTTGTTCCTAACGGGCTGCCAACTCGCACGCGAATGCTTATTGCCACAAGTCTTTGCCAAGGAAAGCATCTCGACGCAGGTGGTGAGAAATCGAGTTGATTTCTTGCGGCAAGAGCCCCACATGCAAGAGTCAAAGACAACATCAAGACACTGAGAGCGCAAATGCTTCCACTCCGGCAGCAGCCACATGTAGCTGCGCTCAGGATTCTCAACACTCCAACTGATGTTCAAGGAAGAGAGCCACTCGCAGAAGCGTGCCATCTGAAGATAAATCAAGTTTGCACTCTCAACTTTATCGCGCCAAGTGCCACTCAACCACGGAAAGCCCTGTGGGTAGCGTTCCGACCTCAAGGGGGGAGGCCCCCACTCTGCCGATGACATAGGCCTGTCGCGCGCCCTGGAAGCGGTGCCACAAGGAGGGGCGCCGTGAAAATGAAAGACGCGATTTGTCAACACACAAGTTTGCAAGAACTCCCAAGAAGCAGGCTTACGCAAGTCAAGCGAAACCACAGTAGCGAGCGGCCTGTGTCGGTTGCCCTCGCAATCTAGTGGCAAGACATCGAAGCCATCCTTCTTAAGCATAGCAGACAAGCGTGCGCAACCACAACACGCCTCAATCACAAGCAAACGTGCAGGCTTGCCAACGGAACTAAAGTTGACATCATTGGGAGGCTTACACAGAGTCAACGGCTGCACAGCTGAGTTATCATCAAAAGTCTGAGTCACAGCTGGCCTTGAAGAAGAACGCAAGTCGACCAGGCCTGACGTAGCACAGGCCGGAACTCCAAGTTGAAGCCCAGAGAAGCCAAAGCCTCAGCGTCTGAAGAATTAAGTTTCGAGAATGCAGAGACAGCAAATCCCACCAGCACGACACGCGTGCCAGTCCAAGGCATAACGGTGTGCTTTCGGTTCCTGGCATCGATAGCACACGGCCCTGAAGCAACATCAGCCACAACGCCCAAGGTGTGATTGTCCTCAGGAGAAGGAACACGGCCTGATGCGTCCTGAAGCCAAATGCCGCCTCCTTCAAACTGGGTAAGAGGCAAGATGATGTTGTAGACATCAGCATTGTACCGATCGACATGAGTTGTAGTCGGGGCATCAGCATGCACCGAGAAACTGGTGAAAGGATAAGCCGGGGCAGCAAACCTGATGGCACTTGCAAAAGCTTTACAAGCGTTAGGATGTTTCCGAGAGTTTGCTCGGAGACCAACGATGCCACCTTTCATGTATGCGCCGCCCCCAAAGGCGCGCGCACCTGAATCATCACTGCGAGGGCAATCCTCAAAAGGCAGCATCTCAAACAGAGCCAACAAGTCCTTGGCATGAAATTCTGACTTCTCAAGTATCATCTCAGCAAAATGCTCAGAAGAAAAGGATGAAACATGTTCGACATCACACAGCGGTTCAGATTGATATCTAGCATCATCACCAGATCTTGTTTCAAGCCTAGCTCTTTCGGCAGGCTTGGACGGAGTCGCATCATCGCGACCACTCAGCGCATCATCACATACCGCTTCACCGCGAGAAGCCTTCAACGGCTTCAACCAAGGGCCAACACCTGGCCCGCGCCGAGCACTATCAACACTGGGCACCCAAGCGTCACCGCTCGTACCCGATTGAGGCATACAGCTGCCACCAGATGAAACGTCATTAACATTGCCAGCACCTGGCTGCGCCGAAGCCGATCCGTTTAACGGGGCCCCTTCGATGCCTGATGAATGAGCTCTCGGCTTGCCACGAGAGTCAGCCGACAACGCGGGTGCACTCAAAGGTCTCTTAGAGGAAGCACCTCTGGGACTCGATAAATTCGCGGCCACACTCGCCAAAGACTTGTGCGACCCACTGCATGCATCAGAAGAGGAGCCGAGTCACTCCTTCTTGCCCGTCCTCTTCGGGCACGAAGAGGCAGAG